GATTAGCTGGCTAGCCAGGTAAGTTTCAGTTTAGTTTGCACCAATCCTGGGTTTTAGGTACCATGAAAGTGGCTTGGCTTTTAACGGCCTTCATTGCCATGGTAACTTACACTCCACAGCTAACCTGCTCCGGGGGAGCTTATGTTCTGGGTAAGAGATCTCAAACTGAAATTGGACCAATCAGATGTGAGCAAAGTGACAAATTGTTTGACGCAAAAAAGTCACTCCCCCAGTTTCTCTTGCTCCAAATTAAAGGTCACTCGTACTTATTACTAGTAAAAATTGTCTGGGTTTAATAATTACTTAGTTATTATTTTATATGATTTATATAATTATATTATTTATATTATTATTAATCCATTATACACAGGCACTTTTAGTTTAACAGCTATTATAAATCATGTATTTTAAATGAATGTTAATATATACAGATTGTATGTATAAATAAGCTGTAGAATCAATAGATAACGCTTTTTAAAAATGACTACATGTGACCTTGTTCGAGTCTATATTGCTGTATATTTTCAACTATATAAACTAACTTAACAAGTTTCACTTGTGACTGCACTGATAGAGCAAGATCATTTACTTTATTTGTCCACTTTCATTAAAAAGTACTTTTTTTTAAAATTGTAAATGCGTTTAAATTAATCATATTCTTCAATCTCTTAACCTTTAGCAAAACCTTAACCTTTAACCAAGGCTCGTGATTGGCTGTTCGCCAGTGATGTCATACATTCACGTACACATGCTCCACAAACTCAGGATCAAAGCCGGAGTTGACAAAGAAAGTTGATGATCAGCATCATGGTACCAACAAAGCCGGATTGGAGTGGTTTGGTTTTGTCAACTCGAAACTAATTCTGTATATCTGTATTTGTTCAACTACCATCATGGTACAGGCCCCTGGAAAGCTTTATCAAAACAGATGTTGACTATTAGCTGAAGTAGTAGTTGCGGCTTTATTGACAACATTTGCAGGCACCATATCTTTGCAGTTTAGAAACCATGCATGTTCACATTGTGATATGATTACGATTTTGATTAATCGCACAGCCCACTCACTTGCTCATAAACTCATGCTGATGTAGTCATAGTACAGTCATTGTACAGCAGATACCCACCCTCCCATCTCAGCCTGTGGTGTGGTCTTTGTGATGACGATTGTCTTCCCCAGTTTTGACTCCAGATCCACTTTATAATCTCTGTGGCGAAGAAGCTCCCGCTTGACGGGGGGCACAGGCTTGCCTAGAGAACAGAAAAGATGGATAACATAAGAAATACTGCTAGAAATTTACTTGGATGAACTATTGTCAGCTGAGCTAATTTTATTTGACCTTATATGTGACAATCTAACATAAAATGTAATAAATGCATTCTTATATATGAATGAAAGGTTACAACACAGTTTTGCTTACCATCTTTTTTCTCTCTCTCTCTTCTGTGAGTCGTTTCTGGGCCAGCTGTTCATATTCATCTTTGTCCCATTTACGACGAAAATCATTCTTGGACTACAAAAACAGACAGATGCTATTATAAAGATGTTAAACAAAGGAATCACATCAGCCGTATTCAGAAATCTGCTGAAAATGCATAGAAAAGCATGTGCACAAGATCCAACATGAATAAAAACCCATCTGATCATACTGATAGTTTAACAAGGCTGTCAGTCAGCAATACTAGAGATACCAGCTTGCAAAACGTCTCATAGTTAAATATATCCGTGTTCTTGTTTGTGTATACGACAACAAAACAAAACCATCTGGAGCCACAACCTGCAAGCAGCTTTCATTTTCCCCAGCTACCGCGACATCTACACTTCATAAAAGAAGAAATTAAGAACAGATTTAGTTCATAAACAATTGTCAAAGAAAGCGGATAGATTAAAATTCTAAACAAAGAAGGAAATCTAAAAAAAAAAAAGTCAACAAAATTCTTACCCCACTGCCAGACGCCATTTTGCTATCATGAAGCCATAAAGTGTGTGTTGCTGTCGTAAACAAGTACCGTTCTATTTCAAGTGATCCAACCAAAGCCGATCTCTGATAAAATCAATAAAATTGCTGTCGCTGACCATGGAAAACAACAACAACTTTAAACACAATATTAACTGGACAAAACTGGGGGTTTTATATGGTTACGTTTAACGTGATTTACACGAATAGTTTTGTGTTTCATAGCTGTTTTATTGTTTTTGCTGAATAAATAAAATAAGCTGTTTAGTGGCAGATTACACTGATAACTTACCCTATATAGTATAGAATAACCAGTTCTATGTAGGCTAGTATATATTATCTGCCAGTTATTTTGTTGCCAATGTCTAAACAGTGAAATATTTACTGTAAACTCTGACAGCTATATATTTTTGACAGCTTCTTTTCTCCGTGGCAACGATCAAACACTGTACACTAGACATTTTCAGTTCACATGAAAAAAAGAGAATTGATTTCCTTCCTCATGAAATCGTTATAACGATATTATTTTATTTTGTAAATTGTTTAGATTTTTTTGAATGATTAGTGGCCTTACCTGTCTCATTTGTAGAGCCCCGCCCCCGTTACACCTGCCGCTGATAAAAAGCTTTGTCAAACGCAATGTGTTGTGTGGCTGTAGCCAAAATCATGACAACACGCATAGAGAGCCTTCTTCAAAGCCCTTTTGAGTCGCGGTTGTATGTTTTTAAAATTCAGTTTGCACGTTTGAAATATCGTAATGTGTTGCTGTAGCTTGTCTTTTGTTTGTATTTTAGAGGTCTGCCTCTTCATTTGTGGCCAACAGACGTTGCCCAAGACTTCAAGACTAAAACACACTCTCTCCCATGTAGCCCAGAACCTTGGCTTCTACCAGGCTGCAGTTCAGTGTATGATAGTCTTGTCAGGTAAATATCTCTGTTGATTGAGGAAGGATATAGTGGGGTTGTAGTTTTTTCTTTTTTTTTGCCATAGAGTGCAAACTTGATACTTATAAATAAGCTGTAGAATCAATAGATAACGCTTTTTAAAAATGACTACATGTGACCTTGTTCGAGTCTATATTGCTGTATATTTTCAACTATATAAACTAACTTAACAAGTTTCACTTGTGACTGCACTGATAGAGCAAGATCATTTACTTTATTTGTCCACTTTCATTAAAAAGTACTTTTTTTTAAAATTGTAAATGCGTTTAAATTAATCATATTCTTCAATCTCTTAACCTTTAGCAAAACCTTAACCTTTAACCAAGGCTCGTGATTGGCTGTTCGCCAGTGATGTCATACATTCACGTACACATGCTCCACAAACTCAGGATCAAAGCCGGAGTTGACAAAGAAAGTTGATGATCAGCATCATGGTACCAACAAAGCCGGATTGGAGTGGTTTGGTTTTGTCAACTCGAAACTAATTCTGTATATCTGTATTTGTTCAACTACCATCATGGTACAGGCCCCTGGAAAGCTTTATCAAAACAGATGTTGACTATTAGCTGAAGTAGTAGTTGCGGCTTTATTGACAACATTTGCAGGCACCATATCTTTGCAGTTTAGAAACCATGCATGTTCACATTGTGATATGATTACGATTTTGATTAATCGCACAGCCCACTCACTTGCTCATAAACTCATGCTGATGTAGTCATAGTACAGTCATTGTACAGCAGATACCCACCCTCCCATCTCAGCCTGTGGTGTGGTCTTTGTGATGACGATTGTCTTCCCCAGTTTTGACTCCAGATCCACTTTATAATCTCTGTGGCGAAGAAGCTCCCGCTTGACGGGGGGCACAGGCTTGCCTAGAGAACAGAAAAGATGGATAACATAAGAAATACTGCTAGAAATTTACTTGGATGAACTATTGTCAGCTGAGCTAATTTTATTTGACCTTATATGTGACAATCTAACATAAAATGTAATAAATGCATTCTTATATATGAATGAAAGGTTACAACACAGTTTTGCTTACCATCTTTTTTCTCTCTCTCTCTTCTGTGAGTCGTTTCTGGGCCAGCTGTTCATATTCATCTTTGTCCCATTTACGACGAAAATCATTCTTGGACTACAAAAACAGACAGATGCTATTATAAAGATGTTAAACAAAGGAATCACATCAGCCGTATTCAGAAATCTGCTGAAAATGCATAGAAAAGCATGTGCACAAGATCCAACATGAATAAAAACCCATCTGATCATACTGATAGTTTAACAAGGCTGTCAGTCAGCAATACTAGAGATACCAGCTTGCAAAACGTCTCATAGTTAAATATATCCGTGTTCTTGTTTGTGTATACGACAACAAAACAAAACCATCTGGAGCCACAACCTGCAAGCAGCTTTCATTTTCCCCAGCTACCGCGACATCTACACTTCATAAAAGAAGAAATTAAGAACAGATTTAGTTCATAAACAATTGTCAAAGAAAGCGGATAGATTAAAATTCTAAACAAAGAAGGAAATCTAAAAAAAAAAAAGTCAACAAAATTCTTACCCCACTGCCAGACGCCATTTTGCTATCATGAAGCCATAAAGTGTGTGTTGCTGTCGTAAACAAGTACCGTTCTATTTCAAGTGATCCAACCAAAGCCGATCTCTGATAAAATCAATAAAATTGCTGTCGCTGACCATGGAAAACAACAACAACTTTAAACACAATATTAACTGGACAAAACTGGGGGTTTTATATGGTTACGTTTAACGTGATTTACACGAATAGTTTTGTGTTTCATAGCTGTTTTATTGTTTTTGCTGAATAAATAAAATAAGCTGTTTAGTGGCAGATTACACTGATAACTTACCCTATATAGTATAGAATAACCAGTTCTATGTAGGCTAGTATATATTATCTGCCAGTTATTTTGTTGCCAATGTCTAAACAGTGAAATATTTACTGTAAACTCTGACAGCTATATATTTTTGACAGCTTCTTTTCTCCGTGGCAACGATCAAACACTGTACACTAGACATTTTCAGTTCACATGAAAAAAAGAGAATTGATTTCCTTCCTCATGAAATCGTTATAACGATATTATTTTATTTTGTAAATTGTTTAGATTTTTTTGAATGATTAGTGGCCTTACCTGTCTCATTTGTAGAGCCCCGCCCCCGTTACACCTGCCGCTGATAAAAAGCTTTGTCAAACGCAATGTGTTGTGTGGCTGTAGCCAAAATCATGACAACACGCATAGAGAGCCTTCTTCAAAGCCCTTTTGAGTCGCGGTTGTATGTTTTTAAAATTCAGTTTGCACGTTTGAAATATCGTAATGTGTTGCTGTAGCTTGTCTTTTGTTTGTATTTTAGAGGTCTGCCTCTTCATTTGTGGCCAACAGACGTTGCCCAAGACTTCAAGACTAAAACACACTCTCTCCCATGTAGCCCAGAACCTTGGCTTCTACCAGGCTGCAGTTCAGTGTATGATAGTCTTGTCAGGTAAATATCTCTGTTGATTGAGGAAGGATATAGTGGGGTTGTAGTTTTTTCTTTTTTTTTGCCATAGAGTGCAAACTTGATACTGATTTGTGAACTGTGGAATCCCCCTCCCAGCTGCTCTAAAACCCCACAATCAGCTTCACATAATGGAGAAAAGACTTCTGCTGTTCAGAAGCCTCGCAGGTCTGTTTTTATTCAATGAACTTTGGTTGCATATCTGACGTTTTGGTGTGAAAGTTTTGTATGAGACCCTTTAGAAGTTCAACTAATTTAAAGAAGTTTTTAACCATTTAAATAGCCGATTCTCTGTTCAGGTCATCCATTCTTGAGCGGTGCATCCTGAATATGTCTACAGCTAGTGTTGCTGTTGGAACAGAAGACATTGATGGGATCAACAGGTCTCTTAATATGGTTATTGAAGAGAAAAGAAATAGTATTTATGAATTAATACAATTTGTATACATGCATGCAAAATTCCAAATATAATTAATATTTTTAGACAAATACTTATATTAAAAGTAACTTTTTAATAAACGGTGTGTACATATGCAATTCTATTAAGTATGAAGTACTTTTATTAAATGATAATTTTAAATATGCATAAGAGGGAAATGCTCGTGTGTGTGTTTATTGCTTTTTATTAAAAAAAAAGAAAAAAAAGTGTGTATGTACATTTAGCCTTGTGCCAGCTGATTAAATAACTTGTTTTGTAGGTCACCATCAGGGCGACAGTGGTGCCCCAACAATGCTGACCCGGCACAATTCGAGACCAATGAGGCAGTTTTGAAGCGTAGACAAAAACAGATTCAATATGGAAAGAACACTTGTGGCTACCAGAGCTATGCTCAACAGGTTCCAAAGTGAGAACTGGTGAAATTTGATTAAATTGCTAACAACTTTTCCCCCCTTTTTTTTTTTTTTTTTTTGCTAAATGTTCTCCTGATTGTATTGAAAGGTTCCTGGTTATTATATTTCCTAACTGTTCAGGTGTCTGCGTGTGCCTGGGATTCACCCTTCCACTCCAAACAAACACCGCAAATATAGCCGCAGATCTTGGGACATGCAAGTCCGTCTCTGGCGGAGAGCGCTTCATGCATGGGACCCACCATCTGCTTCCCAGAAAGACATGGAGGGACAAGACCCTGTTGATCAATTGTAAGTGTTCAAAGACTGTTTGTAAATTTGCAGTAATTCTATTAATTTGCTAAATTAAACACCTAGGCAGAGCTTGCTTGAGAAGATGAATACAAAGCTGTGCGACGGTGGTGAAAAGGAGGGCACAAAGTGGGAAACGGTGCCGGATACCATGTCGTCCATTGTTTCACAACCTTCTGCCGATGGTCCTTGGCTATATTCTAATGCCACTCAGGTCAGACTTAAATATTGAGTCAATGGAGTTGTTTGAAGTGGTATATTGTGGTAGTGGTATATAAAAACCAATGTCCTTCTCTTGTAAAGTACAGTACATGGTTTCAGTGCTAACTGAGATTCTTCTGTCCAGGTTGGAGTCCCATGCCACCGGAGCCAAACCCCTCAGCCCGGATTGGGCTACACCTTCAGCAGTCGCCTAACACCACAGGAGAACGTCCTAGGATGGCTGCGATTTCTCCTCGAGACTGACCACAACCAAAACCAGGCGCCTTTGCTGCATGAAGAGCCTTTCTGGAGATTTACGTAGTGTCTCGTCAAATCATGCCAATGGTCTGCACAGATCAGGTGCAAAGCTTGTTCTCCAGCTATGTTTGAATTACACTTGGATCACTGTCTCCTAGTTCAGTATGCTGTGCACTATGTATTTTGTAATCAAGGCATCCTCTCCAAACGAATGTTTCAATATTGTACACCTTCAAGTACCTGTTATTGCTACTTTGTTCCCCACTTTCTGGTTATCTTTTTAAGTTTCTTTCCCTTCTAAAGCACTGGTTCTATTCCTTTCGTTCTGTTCCTAACACTCTTTTCCTCGTATGTCACGTCACTGTTTTTCTAAAAACAGGAAGTTCAGAAGTTTATTTTTTAGTGTGTGTGTACCTCTATGAATGGAAAAACTAATAAAGATGTGGACTGGCAAGCTGACTCTGCATATGTCATTAAATTGTTGTGGTACAATTTCTTTTGTATGCTTTTATCCATTAAATCTCACCTAATGAGTTAAGCGAATAACGTATCTTTCGTCATTATTAGGTAAAAGCACTGAAGGTCACTGACTAGCTTTGTTGTTAATTTCTAAAGTTGTATACAATTGTTTGCCACGTTAAGAATAATTTGGTCTTAAATGTATATTAATCCTGAAAACAAACTCTTAAATTAGTTATTTGCAAAAATACGGAAAAATCCCTTCAGAAATCACTACAGTTCCCATGAGTGTCGTTTTATCTCGGGATCGGCTCAGTCCAAAGAGAGTCCAGTTCTCTCCCTGAACTATAGGCTATTGTTTGACAACTCCGAGCTTAATATCGTTCATTTATTCACCTCGTATTTGCGTTTTTGTACCGATTCCCGTACAACACCTTCCACGCGTTTGTATGAAGACCCGTTGTAAGATGAACCCGAGTCCGTATATGCCCTGAATGTTATTTACAAATACCTCCATAGAAGGGGCGCACTTATTTTTCGCTAGTGGGCGACGTTGAGAAGACCGTCTGTATCAACCAAGCGTGCAACAGCAGACCAATCCTCAATTTTACACTATCCTTTATATCATCCGTTTCGGTCTTCGCTTTTGATCCAGCGTGTTATTTCAACGGTATGTCTTTTGTTAAGCAGAGCCGTCGGGGATTGCGTACCGATCTATTTCCAGGCCGAAGCAAGGACGGTGTATTAGACAGCAAGCCGACCTGCTTTAGCTTGTTGTACCGAATCGGCTGAATCTCTCGGTTGAGAGCCACATACAAGGCCTGGGGTTTTGTCGACAATTCTCGGTTGACTCAAGGTAAGCCATTATCGTAGAAAATAATCAGTGCGTCTTCGTTTAAATGCGATGTTATTCATCTAATATCTAGTTTCGCTGCAGTCAGGCTCATTGTGCATGGCTAGAAATCGGTTCGCGGGGCAGAATTGCATTTCATAAACGTGTGTAAACAAATCTGCAGCACATGGCAGGGATGCAGTAATTTGCTTTTGCAGACAGCCGAACGGAACGCACAATATGTGACGGAAAGACATCTTAAATCTGTATTTCTTTAACAGGCCTGTTTACAGCACCGCGTTAGCTATAGCCCTGGTCGGCTGTTCCTGAATGGCTTGTCATATAGTCTGTTATTTTTAATTCGCATGAAATGAATAGCGGTTTATTAAATGCTAAATATAGAATTAGTTTTTGGTGTTATATCGTTAGTGTAATCTGCAAAATGCAAAGAGTTTACAACCGGTGCACGCGATATGAAACCGCGTTCTGTTTCCTAATGTCGACCAATGCTTCTTTATAGTCTCAATTCATTCGCTTGCCTTCGGCGTGCAAAAATCAATATACTCTTAATGTGTATGCATGCTCAGAATGGCTAAACTTGGCTAATGCCCCGTGCAAACCGTATTCGCACGCTTCAGAAATGTGGCCTACCCCGACCTTCAGCGCGATTTGATTTATTAGACGTCGATGCGATCGGGAAATGTATATATTTTTTATCTCGGCAAATAATTTGAATTGTAGACGAAGGGTATGTTGTGCTACATGTAACGTTTAATGTGCTTATAATGGAGATGACAGGCAGCAGGCGCCCCTCCCCCCCCGCCATCGCCTCCATCAGCCGCGACCGCTCAGCGCGTTACCAAGGCAACGG